GGCCTGGACCTGGGCCCGCGCCCGGTAAGAGCCCGTGCCGGGAGGGTGCGGGAGGGGAAGGTCGACGTCCTGGCCGCCCGTCTAGCCGCCGCCACCCAGACGCCCGCCGTCCGGTCGTCGGGACTCCCCCTCCCCCAGTCACGTGGGCTCCGGGCCTCCTGTCGCCGCTCGCAGGGTCCCGGGCCTCGGAAACACCCCGCCGCCGCTCCTCGGGCCTCTCGCCCCATCTGACAGATGTCCCCTGCTCCCTTCGAAGCCCCAGGAGCGTTCTAGTCGCGGTTCCGGTCACCGCGGCGCCGAAACACACTTCGGCCCTGACCCCACGGTCCTTGTCCCATCTGACAGACGCGCCCACTCCACTTGGAGACTTTGACAAAGTCCCGGTGTCCCGGTCCCCAGCGGTCTCCTGGCCTGCCTGCTTCTTGCCTCCATGAGATTCAAACTGAGTAGGGGACCTGCCTGGCCCCCTGCCCCATTATATCTCACCGAGCGCCCCCACGGCCCCATCTGACAGTTTCTTCCTTCTCAGAGCTCTGGCCGTCTTCCAAACTCTAAACTTGGGGCTCAACGAGCCCCCCCCCCCAGGCCCCTTTCTCTGAAAAATTAGACCGTGAAAACCCACACATGATTCCCTTTCCCCACACACCTGTCTCAGGGAAGCTTACCAGCCTGACAGATGCCTCAGGAACTTCACACAAAGTTCTGTGGTTCCCACTCTTCCTGTCCTCAGCCAGATCGCTGCTGTTTCAGGCTCCTGGCTTTCACCTTCTCCCACTTGCGGCTCAGCTTGTGATGAGCTGGCCCCAGCTGTCTTGTCTGGTAGATTCCTCACAAGTCCCACGTAGCCACCTCCCTGTCTTTGGCTCTCTGGCCTTCTGTGTTGTCTCTCTGGCCTTCTGACCCTTGTTTTCTTTTGTCGAATATCCCATCTGATTGCCCCAACCCTCACCTCCCGAGACTGACAGATGATCCCCCTCACCAGTTCTGCTCAGAGAGATGTTTTCTCTGAAAATCCCTAGGATGAGAGTCTTGGCTCAGACTTGCACTGTGTTCTCTGACCTGTCCATGTTCTGCTGGGTGGAAACTGCCACTAGTCTCCACTGTCAGTGGGCAGCCTCAACATCCCTGCACTGAACTGGCGCTGGGGGGATGGGTGGAGCCTGAACTTTCCTAAGGTGAGCTGCCTCCCCGACTGAGAGCGGGTATCAAGGATGAGGAGGAACAGCCATCCTCTTGATCCTTCTGGGAGTAGACAGCTCAAAATTTGCCTGGGCTGAGCGTGTCTCCTCAACCCCACAGGCCTGGGTTCTGAGGAAAACATAGTGGTGGCCATGGACTTGGGCTCCCCCCCACTCCCTAAGAAGAGCCTGCCTGTGTCTGGGGCCCTGGAGCAGGTGGCCAGTCGGCTGAGCAGCAAAGTAGCTGCAGAGGTTCCTCATGGCAGCAAACAGGAGCTGCCGGACCTCAAGGGTGAGTGGCCCAGGCATCAGGGTGGGGGTGTTGGCCAGGCTGGTCACACTCACAGGGGAGCTGTCAGGCCTGAGGGTTAATGTGGGGCCCCAGGTTAGTCATGGCTTTCTTTCCAACCCCTTCAAGCATCAGGGAAACACCCAGCTGTCTTCTTTGAGCTTCTGCAGCCCTGAGCATGCATGACCCTGAGCTGTACCCTCACTGGGGGAGGGTTTGGCAGTCAAGGGCTCAGACCCAGTTCATTTGCCGACTCTACCCTCAGCTCTGTGATCTTTCACATGACACCGATTTGTCTGTCTGTGGATCCTAAGGTCATTATTGAGTAGTGATGGGCACTGTGCTGGACCCCAGGGATGTGACAAGAACAAAATGGCCTTGTCCTTGCCCTTGGGGGGGGTCACTGAAGCTGGGGACAGAGAGGCAGAGAAGCAGACAGGCAGGGATAAGGGCTCTGCAGAAGAGGGTGCAGCAGATCACAGGAACTGTGGCTGGGCCTCCACCCTGGCGTTTGGGTTTTGATTGAGCCACAGAGGGTGGCTAGGACTTAGCTCAGTGAAGCACGTGGCTGGCAGGTCAGTGTTTGTGTGAGCCTGTTGTGAGGCACCCTGGTGCGTGAGAGATCTGAAAAGTGTCCCACTGACTGGAAAACAGAAGGGCTCTGCCTCCTGCTCTGTCCCCTTGGGTACAACTCTTCCCTTCTCTGAGCCTCAGTTTCCTTCTTCCAAACTGGACAGGCTAATCTCCGCCTCATTAGGGTCACTGTCAGGATCAGGGGGGTTGACATAAGCAAAACACTTCCATGGAGTCTGGTTGAGTAGGACCCCAGGGAGAGGAGAAGCGGGAGAGCTGGGCCCACGGGCCTTACAGTCTACTCTCCTGGCCTCCGTGTCACCCTCCAGCTCAGAGCCTGACCACCTGCGAGGTCTGCGGTGCCTGCTTTGAAACCCGCAAGGGCCTGTCAAGCCACGCGCGCTCCCACCTGCGGCAGCTGGGGGTGGCGGAGTCGGAGAGCAGCGGCGCGCCCATCGACCTCTTGTATGAGCTCGTGAAGCAGAAGGGCCTGCCTGATGCCCCCCTTGGGCTGCCCCCAGCCCTGGCTAAGAAGTCCAGCTCGCTGAAGGAGGTGGTTGCTGGGTCCCCCCGGCCCAGCCTGCTCACCCTGGCCAAGCCTCTGGATGCCCCTGCTGTCAACAAAGCCATCAAGTCGCCCCCCAGCTTCTCGGCCAAGGGCCTGGCCCACCCACCCAGCTCTCCACTCCTCAAGAAGGCACCGCTGGCCCTGGGGGGCTCCCCTACCCCCAAGAATCCTGAGGACAAGAGCCCCCAGCTGTCCCTGAGCCCCCGGCCAGCCTCCCCAAAGGCACAGTGGCCTCAGTCTGAAGACGAGGGGCCCCTGAACCTCAGTGAGTGTGGGTCCCAGGAGCCGAGGGAGGTCCCGGCACTGGGAGGGACAAGGGCTCAGCTCGGGTTGCAGGGCCCAGGGTGGGGGTAACAGGGACTGCAGCTCCCATGTACTGGGTCGGCCGGGTTAGAGTGTTGGTTGAGGTGCTGTGTCTCCTGTTGCACTGCCCAGCACATGATCATCTGTCTCCCACTTTACTTTGTTGATCTTCTCCTGGAGGCCTGGCAGTAGCCGCTGAGCCTGCCCAGGTCATCCCTGCCTCTTAGGGGCAGCTCTTGGCCTTCTCTGGGCCTGAGAGTGGGGGCAGCGAAGGTAATTAGGGCTCTGTGGGCCTGGCTTCCCCAGGGGGAGTCCAGGGCATCTTGGGTCCTGCTGGTAGACATGTCATCCACCTGACAGGAGGTGCCCGTAGTTGATCCTGTCTTCCTGTCTTCCTGACCGTCCTGTGCAGAGGCCTCTCTCTCTGTCTGTGCGAGGGCGGTGGAGCCCCACCTTCTGGGCTGCCTGTGGGCTTGGCAAGTAGGGCTTGGGAAGAAACCTTCCAGGCGCAGTGAGTGAGCGGGTTTAATGAGGGCATCTCAGGACACCAGGCTTTCCCAAACATTTTTGGGCATTAAGTCTGGGGGTGACACCAGGGTTGGCCTCCTGCCCAGTGGAGCACCCCAGTTGGCACCTTATGTCCCCTCGAAGTTGCTTCCTCTGAGTCTGCTGTGTTTCCAGGAGCAGGGCCTGTGGCTGTCTGGCGCTCTGCACTCACCTTCTACTCCATGTTGCTCCGGTATCAGGGGTCCCAGGGGAGAGGGCCTGGGAGCATCAGATTTTGCCACTGGAATTAGGTCACTGCCCGTCCACCCCACATCCTTAAGCTCTCTCCACACTCACCTTGATGCCAATGGGCTGGGCAGGGAACAGGATGTCCTGCTTTCTAAAATCTCTCAGAAGAAATCTACGGCCCAAATGTTGGTCCCCGAACTGCCTGGGCAGCTGAGATTCACACCAAACACTCCTGCCTCAGTCCTCCAGGGCCGGCCAAGGTGGCGGCCGTGAACCCCCCCTGTGTTTTGTCTCCGCAGCTTTAGATAGTGACGGGGGCAGAGAGCTGGACTGCCAGCTGTGTGGTGCCTGGTTTGAGACCCGCAAGGGCCTGTCCAGCCATGCGCGCGCCCACCTGCGCCACCTGGGCGTCAGCGACCCGGACGCCAAGGGATCCCCCATAGACGTGCTCCACGGGCTCATCAGGAGGGACGGCGTCCAGATCCGCCTCCCACCCGAGCGCAGCGCCCTGGCCCACCTGGGGCGGCCTCCTCCCGCCTCCGCGGCCCTCTCCTTGCTCCCCCCCCCACCGCCGGCCAAGAAGGCCAAGCTGAAGGCCGCGGGTACGGCCAGCCCCTGGGGGAAGCAGGACCTCTCGGCCGCCGCAGCCGCCGGCATTTTCTGGGCCTCTGATGTGGAGCCGTCTCCTCTCAACCTCTGTAGGTTCTCGCTTCAGCCGCCCCCTCCTCCCTGCGGGCCCTGGAGCCCCTCCCGGGGGGGTCGCAGCTCCTTCCCTTCTCCCTCCCTGCTGGTGCAGGGAGTAGACGAGGGCCCTTGGCAGTGGGCCAGTTCTACCCAGAGATCTTGCTGCTCTGCCCTCTCTCTTGGCCTTTGACCTCTGCAACTGTGACCTTCCCTGAGAAGGCCAAGGTGGGGGGGGGGCCCTGCCTTTTGGTGTGGAAGGCATCCATATCTTTCCCCCATGTGGATGGCACGTGGCACCTCTGCTGCCGCTTCCTGCCCTCCTGCTCCCTCCCCCCGCCTTATTGGGACCCACAGAGTTGGTTCCAGTTCCATCCTCCTCTGCCAGAACCAAGGGCTCTTGCGCTCTCCGGAGCCTCCCCTTGCTCCTGCTGGGTGTCTGGCCCCCCGCCCCACTGCTCATCTCCCTCGCTTGCACCTGCCCTCCACCACCACCCTAGCCTGTGGGCATGCTGCTGCCCATGCCCAGCCGACCAGGACACTCCTGCAGGTGACCATGCTAGAGATGCCCACAATGCTAACTGCCCCTTTCTCCTCCTGCCACAGCCTCAGGCCCAGAGCCAGCGCGAGACATCCGCTGTGAGTTCTGCGGTGAGTTCTTCGAGAACCGCAAAGGCCTGTCGAGCCATGCACGCTCCCACTTGCGGCAAATGGGTGTGACCGAGTGGTACGTCAATGGCTCACCCATTGACACGCTTCGGGAGATCCTGAAGAGACGGACCCAGTCTCGGCCAGGTGGACCCCCCAACCCACCAGGGCCTAGCCCAAAAGCCCTGGCCAAGGTGGTGGGCAGCGGAGGTCCTGGCAGCTCGCTGGAAGCCCGCAGCCCCTCGGACCTTCACATCTCACCCCTGACCAAGAAGTTGCCACTGCCACCAGGCAGCCCCCTGGGCCACTCACCAACTGCCTCTCCTCCCACGGCCCGGAAGATGTTCTCGGCCCTGGCTGCACCCTCCCTGCCCAAGAAGCTGAAGCCTGAACAAATGCGGGTGGAGATCAAGAGGGAGATGCTGCCGGGGGCCCTTCATGGGGAGCCACACCCATCTGAGGGTCCCTGGGGGGCACCGCGGGAAGACATGACACCCCTGAACCTGTGTAAGTGTGACCCTGTGGCAGGGCAGCGAGAACAGCTGGAGGCATCTCCTCCCTGCCTCCGCTTGGGGGTAACCACAGAGCCCAGGGTTGAAATGCAAGGGCCACACAGGGCTAGCTGTGCGTTTCTGCTATGTAGTCTCCTGCAGCTGAGCTGCTTCTTGATTCTTTTTTATTCCTACAAGGGAGGCAGAGTTGTGTCATTCAGCAATGACAAAAAGATTCTCTCTTGTGTCATCTTCTGTTGACTGGTAGTGGCTCCTAACCAGATCCTAGGGAAAAAGACTTCAGGGATTGATTAGTGATGTCTGCTGTGGGCAGGAGTATAGGGACTGGCTGGGGATGTCTGAGCTGTGTCTTCCTGGCATTTCTGGTAATTAAGTACTTGATATTTGGAGTCAAGTTTGTGTCAAGATTTCTGTTCCTCCACAATATAGCAGTATGTGACCTTGGGCAAGTTTCCTATTTTGGAAGGTGGAGATGAGTATAATCCTACCTCTCTATGGTTTTCTTGAGGATTAAGTGGGATAAGGCACTTAGCATAGTGCCTGGACACAGAAGGCTCTCTGCAGGCAGTAGTTATGATGTCACTGTCTCTGGCTGTCCGGTCCCGCCATCGCTATATTCATTCTGCTCAGGTTGTTTGAGTGCCTACTGTGCTGAGCAGGCGAGGGTGGCTCTGGATCTGCCTTAGAGCGCAGGTGCTGGCTCTGTGCCACGTGCTCTGAATGCACTCCCACCCCCCACCCACCCCATTTTAGACCCTCCCACTAACCCTGGGAGGTGGGAGTTTTCATCTCCATTTTGCAGAGGGGGAAACTGAGGCTCAGAGAGGGGAAGTGGCTTACCTAGCATCACATGGGGAGACATAATGACCCCAGCTAGAATTTGAGGTGACAGAACAAGCAGAAGGGCTGGATGTACACAAGGGCTTCTGGATGCCCAGATGAGGGAGCAGGGCCTTGGGGTCTGGTGGGGGGCTGTGGACAGGGGCAGCCAGGCAGCTGGCACTGATATGGGGCCTTGAGTTTGGAGGCTTCTTGCCCGCAGCCGCTGCCTCCTTCTCCCCCTCCCCCCCACTCTGGACCCCATACAGCGTCCCGGGCAGAGCCGGTGCGCGACATCCGCTGTGAGTTCTGCGGTGAGTTCTTCGAGAACCGCAAGGGCCTCTCCAGCCATGCACGTTCCCATCTGCGGCAGATGGGCGTGACCGAGTGGTCCGTCAACGGCTCACCCATTGACACACTGCGGGAGATCCTCAAGAAGAAGTCCAAGCCGTGCCTCATCAAGAAGGAGCCTCCGGCCGGAGACCTAGCCCCCGCCTTGGCCGAGGATGGGCCCCCCACAATGGCCCCTGGGCCCGTGCAGTCCCCACTGCCGCTGTCACCCCTGGCTGGCCGGCCAGGCAAACCAGGAGCTGGGCCGGCCCAGGTACCGCGAGAGCTCAGCCTGACGCCCATCGCTGGAGCCAAGCCCTCGGCCACTGGCTACCTGGGCTCAGTGGCAGCCAAGCGGCCCCTGCAGGAGGACCGCCTCCTTCCAGCAGAGGTTAAGGCCAAGACCTACATCCAGACTGAACTGCCCTTCAAGGCAAAGACCCTCCATGAAAAGACATCCCACTCCTGTAAGCAGCGGGTAGCAGGGTCCTGGGGGGGCGTCCACCAGGGCCTGCAGGGTCGGGCAATGCTGTGAGCGTGCACGCTAGTGCCAAGTGGAGGTCCCCCTGACCCTCACCCCCAAGACCCTCCATGAAAAGACATCCCACTCCTGTAAGCAGCGGGTAGCAGGGTCCTGGGGGGGCATCCACCAGGGCCTGCAGGGTCGGGCAATGCTGTGAGCGTGCACGCTAGTGCCAAGTGGAGGTCCCCCTGACCCTCACCCCCGTGCTGGGTCCATAATGGGAGGTGGGATCAGCTCCCAGCTGCAGTAGGGCGGTCTAGGTATGCATGCCCCCTACAGGCGGTGGCTCAGCAGCACCTCTTCTGCCCGCAGCTACTGAGGCCTGTTGCGAGCTATGTGGCCTTTACTTTGAAAACCGCAAGGCCCTGGCCAGCCACGCACGGGCACACCTGCGGCAGTTCGGCGTGACAGAGTGGTGTGTGAATGGCTCACCCATCGAGACGCTGAGTGAGTGGATAAAGCACCGGCCCCAGAAGGTGGGCGCCTACCGCAGCTACATTCAGGGCGGCCGCCCCTTCACCAAGAAGTTCCGCAATGCTGGCCATGGCCGCGACAGTGACAAGCGGCCGCCCCTGGGGCTGGCACCTGGGGGCCTGGCTGTGGTTGGCCGCAGTGCTGGGGGGGAACCAGGGCCTGAGGCCAGCCGGGCAGCTGACAGTGGGGAGCGGCCTCTGGCAGCCAGCCCACCAGGCACTGTGAAGGCCGAGGAGCACCAGCGGCAGAACATCAACAGTGAGTGCTGGCAGGAGGTCGTGAGGGCGGTGGGCACCCGCTGGGGCCCACCCGGCCACCCCACTGGACTCTCTGCTGTACATTCACTTCCCCAATTGCTCACCCGTTCACTCCTCCATCCACCATCCCACTGGTCCAGGTGACATCTGGTCACCAGCTGTCCTGTCTTATAAGTCCCCACAGCATTTGCCCCATGCTCGCTGAAGGCAGGAACATCACCAGGGCCCTGGCCTTCCTGCTCATCTCCCATTCCTCTCCCCACCTTAGAATTTGAACGCCGACAAGCCCGCCCTCCTGATGCCTCTACAGCCCGGGGGGGCGAAGAGGCCAATGACCTGCAGCAGAAGCTGGAGGAGGTGCGGCAACCCCCACCGAGGGTCCGGCCAGTCCCCTCTCTTGTGCCTCGGCCCCCCCAGACATCACTCGTCAAGTTCGTCGGTAACATCTACACCCTGAAATGCAGGTACACTTCCTGGGCTAGGGAGGGAGACCACCCAGCTAGGCCTTGGCCACCTGGAGCCTTGGGACAGGACAGGGTCCGGTGCGGGTTGGGAGGTGTCACCTCAAGGGTGCCCTTGGATGTGGTAGGGTCCGGGCTAAGGGCTCCTCCCAGACAGCAGTACCTCAGAGCCTCTGAGCATTGTAGCTGTCAAGACCTGGGTTTAAATCCAGGCTCTGACACTTAGCAGCTTGGTGACCTCAGGCAAGGACTTACCTAATCTGTGCCCCAATTTCTCCACCCGTAAAATGGGGTTGATAACAGACCTACCTAATAGATTTCTTATGAGGACTAAGTAAGTCCAATATTTATAAGGCAACAAAACTCTGCCTGCACATGGTAAGCACTGACTGTGTCTTGATTAAGAAAATAATAGGTCTTAGTTCTTACCAAGGTCCAGGCGTCCATCAGAGACAAAAAAAACTAGGACTCTGAGACATCAGGTGGCTTGCCTCAGGCTACACGGGTCAAGTCAGAAGTAGTATTCGAACTCAAATCTCTGGAACCATGGAGCTTAGGCTCTGGGTCCCTGCCCTGTGAGGCCTAGCCTGGTGCCACAGGGGCAGGAAGAGGAGGAGGGGGCCTGGCAATTTGGGTAGGATCTGCTTTTCTGCACCTTCTACCATCTCAGATCATATGCATCAGTCAGATGGCAGAGGTGCTTGGGAAGCTAGAAGGCCCTTACCTGGCACTAGAGACTTCCGTGAACATAGAGGAAGAGGTTTCCGGGGGACCCCACCATGACCCCATGATGGGTAAAGGTGGCTGCCCATGGGGAGATATCTAACTCTGGGCCCCCTTCCTTTAACCCCTGGGCTTTCTCTGTCCACACTGAGTAACAGCAGGTGTGCTCAGGGACATGAGCAAGGCTATGCTTCTGCCTCTTCTCACGGCAGTGGCCACTCCCTCCCTCTCTCTCTCTTCACCCGTGCAGGTTCTGTGAGGTGGAATTCCAGGGCCCCCTCTCCATCCAGGAAGAGTGGGTGCGGCACTTACAGCGACACATTCTGGAGATGAATTTCTCCAAAGCAGACCCCCCGACTGAGGAGCCCCAAGCCCCACAGGCACAGACAGCAGCGGCAGCAGAGGCTCTCTAACACAGAAGCATTCCAGATCCCCCTTTGTGCCACCTCTCTCTCCTCCTTTTCCTCCTCTGTGTCCTCTTCCCTCTCCCTCTTTCTTTTCCGTTTCCAAAGGAGCAAGCCAAAACCTCAAACCGGCACCCCTTGGGGGCCGGGCACACTACAGCCGGGGCGCCGGGAGCCAGCTAGCCACCCTTCCCCCAGCTGAGGACTCTGGGGCCACAGGGTGTCTTCCTTCAGCCCATGCCTACCTGGTCCAGCAGGGCCAGTAGCCAAGTCTCTGGTCTCTGGTCGTGATCTGGTCACAGGGGAGAACAGAACTCCTCCAACTCTAGCAGCCAGGCAGGGCTATGTCTGCCATCCATGGCCATTTGCAAAGACCCCAAAGACCCCTTTTCTGGTTCCCTCTTGCCTCCATGAATATCCTCTCACACGCACGTACACGTGAACACACACACGCAGCTCGTGAGACCCGGGGTCTGTCCCAGCCCCCCAGTTCCCGAGTCGAACGACCACTTCATGCCACGGTGCTTGCTCAGGGGAGCCATGCTCCCTCTGCGGCCTGCAGGGGCCTGGGAGCCCCCACTGAGCCCACAACGCCACGGACATCCTTGTTGGCTGCCCCCCAGAGGGGCCTTCCCAGCTGGGAAGAGCTCAGAGCTGACAGCTGCCTCCTGCCATGTCAAGGTCCCCCAGAGCCTCGGGGGCTCCGGGGCCTGGGAGGGTGGGGTTGCGGGTGGGAGTCTCCTCCCCCACTCCTCCCACCTCCCCCTTTTCACTGTTGCTTTCTATGTATAGCTCCCTAGACCTTTCACTTTTCTAAAAACGCGTTTTGTGTAGAGACTAAGGAACGTGGATCTTTTTATTTTGCAATTCTGGGCCAGCTAGAAACTGGGAGCTGATTGACCTTTTAACTTTTTTCAGTGGCCACATTTTGGTTATTGATGTACCTAGAAGTATGTAAATTAGATTAAATTTCTTTTCTGGAAACACCCCGGGGCAGGCGGCCAGCGTGTGTTTTTCTGTCGAGTGGACAGGCTGGCATTGGCTGGCAGCTGGGGCTGGGATCAGGGCCTCCTCCACCTGGAGGCCCTGGGTTTTCCTGTTGGCTGCCACGCCAACTAAATGCAGCTGGGGATGAGCCCAAGTTCCCATCTGTTGTCCCTCAATGCCATGGCTGGTGGGGGTCTCTGGCTGACTGGTGAAGTTGCTCCTGTGAGCAGAGCAACCAGGGCTCTGGGCCGCTGGTCTGGGAAGGGAGCCAGGATCAAGAAGCAATTGAGGATAGAAAGGCTTTCCAAGAGCAGGAGCTGTCCAGCGAGGGTGTGGGGGGAGGGAGAAACATACTGGGAGCACTTGGGGGGCCAGTGAGGGTGCAGAAAGCTGGGACTTGCCTGCCTTCAAGACATGTGACTTCTATGGAGACACATGCACCCCAAACCCTAGTAACATGAGGGGTAAAAAGGAGCCACTGACTCCTTTGCAATGCTATTTATTTTCTCACTCTGCAAATGTTTATTGAACATTCCTGAAATTTTAAAGAGAGTTTGTTGGCTGCTCCTTCTTGTTTATTGCATGTGGCATTTTAGCTCATCGTTTTCACTAAAGGGCCAAGTGCTGGAAAGTGGGATGATCTCATGGGGTGTGGAAAGCAGGGCCTTGTGTACCCCCAACCCTTTTGTCCCTGCCTCCCCTACCATACCTCTGCCTGGGAGGGAGGGGTTAACAGGCTGCAACAACATGCAACAAGGGTGGTCTTGGCCCACACACTTGGGGTCAGGACTCACACCCCGTGTGGTGGCAGAAGGCCTCTCCACTTGTGTCCATCCCACTCTGTCGGTCACTATACCCATAGGAAACATGGAGGGCATCTTGTGGGACAAGAGCTGACCCAAAGGTGCTTCCTCTTTCAACTTTTTATGAATCAGTTTTTAAAATATAAAAGTGATACTGGCTGGATGTAAAAAAAAAAAAAAAAAAAAAAGTTCAAACAATACAAGAGCTTGTAAAGTGACATGGGAAATCCCTCCCCACCCACCATGGTGCAGTGATGGCTGTGCATGTTTTTGCAAGGGCACCTACAGTTCTTACCACAGAGTAATCTTTTCCTAAAACTTCCTAGTGAGGCCCTTCTGTGCTTCAGACATTCTATTGTCTGTCTCAGAGGTGTTCTCAGCCTTTGAGCCTCTCAGTCTGTGAGGGTGTTGGATCTTAATGAAATGATGGCTGTGGCCATGCCATGGAAGAAGCTATAGGATTCAGGAGAGGTGCCCCAGGGCCCTGCCTTAGTTTGGAGGACAGGCAGGCATCCCTGAGGGTGGTGAACCCCAAAGCCAGAAAGCAAGTCCATCAGAGCTCTCTGCTTCATGTGTGGAGTTCCTCACATTATGTAAGTGGCTTTATTTCATGTGGCAACAAGTCCTGCATAAGCCCCATCTTGGGGGGAGTTGTTTTATTAAAATATTTCATCATGAAGAATTCCAGCTATACAATGAACCCTCATCTATTAATTATCAACACACAACCAGTGTCTTCAGCTGTAACCCCCTCTCGGCCTCCCCTTCTCCCCTTCCCTATCTGAATTATTATGAAACATTCTGGCCATCTGATCAATTAGTTGCTTAATATTTCAGTATATTTTCATGAAAGATGTGGACTTTTATTTTTTATTTTATTTCTTTTTTTTTTAAAGATGACCGGTAAGGGGCTCTTAACCCTTGACTTGGTGTTGTCTGCACCACGCTCTCCCAAGTGAGCAACCAGCCATCCCTATATGGGATCCAAACCTGTGGCTTTGGTGTTACCAGCACCATACTCTCCCGAGTGAGCCACGGGTTGGCCTAAAGATGTGGACTTTTAAAATGCCACTATTACATCTAAAGAAATTGACAATCATTCCTTAATATCAACAAGTCAGCCATATCATACTCCAGAACAACTTTTTAAAACATACTAAAAGGTGTACAAGTCATAATGGTACAGCTTGATGAGTTTTTTTTTTTAAAGATGACCGGTAAGGGGATCTCAACCCTTGGCTTGGTGTTGTCAGCACCGCACTCTACCGAGTGAGCCACAGGCCGGCCCTTGATGAGTTTTCACAAACATATGTTAAGTACCATTTTCAGTGTTGGCCACTCTGTCATCTCTTAGAAATCCTGAGATGTCCCTGGAAGTGGTTTCCACACATCCCAGGAGGATGCTAAGGACAAGGCTGGTGCGGGCTGCATTACTGCAGGATCCTTGAAGTCCAGAATGAACCAAGAGAGTTTTAGAAGCAAAGTTCCAATTTTAACACCTAAGCGTTAAGGAACTCGAGCAAGTTGTAAATTGAAGCCTCAGTTTTCTTATCATTTAAGAGGGAATAAAAACAAAAAACCCAAAAAATTCGTAGTCTTGAGGGAGCTCTTGAGACTTATACAAATGGAATAATTACATATATAATATAAACATACTATATAAATATAAACATTTTTGGTTTTGGCGGCTCGTCGGTACAGGGATCCAAACCCTTGATCCTGGTATTACAACACCGCGCTGTAAAAAACTAAGCTAACTGGCTAGCCCTATATTTATTATCGTTACGTAATGATTAGTGGCAAAACGTAGCATTTACTCGTATTTAGCGCACCTGGCACTGCACTGATTTTTTACCATACAATATCCATGTGATGTTTGAATTTGTGTCCAGCATCATGTTTGGCGCTTAGTTTTAGTTTTCCCATTCCAGCATCTCTTTCCCATGCTCGTTTTGGAGCCGCAGGCTATAGAAGTCGAAAAACAGCCCAGGTTTGAACGGCACATCTGAGCAGAATTGGGACCCCAGCTATGCCCTGCGTCTTAGACCCGGCTCCCTCTGGCGGGTACCCAGGGCACAGGAGCTTCTCGCGCCCGCCCGCGCTTGGGCCTCGGGCCTTTCCGTAGTGCACGGCTCCGCCCCCCGAACAACCCCCAGAGGACTCCACCTCTCCGCCGGCTCCTCTCGGCCAATCACCGCGGGAGTGGGATAACGGAAGGCGGGGACGGAGCGGGGATCCCTGAGAATGGCAGCGTTTTTAGCAACTGGCATGAGGCGGAGCCGAGATAGACAGTGAATCCGTCCAATAAGGCGTGAAGCCCGAGGCCGGCACGAGCCAGTGCAGTCGGGAGGCGGGACTCGGGTGTGTGTAGAAAGGACCCCGACGATCTTCGCCGCTATCGACGCGTCAGACGCGTAGAGCAGCTGCCGTAGTCCTCAGGTGTTGGTGTTCGCCGCCGCCATGAGCTACACAGGTGGGCCCGGCAGTGTGGGGGGTGAATCAGGGACGTACCGGGGCCGTGCCGGACTCGTCCGCGCCTTTCCCGGTGCCCGGATGACTGCCCTCTCCGCGGCCACAAAATGGCGCCGCGGGCCCGTCGCATCAGGATCGCGCCTCCCACGCCTCGGCGCCTCCGTTCTTCGTGCTGGCACTGGGTTCCTTGCTCCCGGCCGCCCGAGGTCTTGGTTTCTGTCAGGTCCTATGTCCGTGGGCCCCGAACCTCGGCGCCTGAGGTCCCTCCCATCGGTCCGTGCTCCTCGGGACTCGGCGCCTTAGGTCGCCTTTCGTCAGGTCTCGGTCCCTGAGATCGGTTGGCTGGCTCGCCGCAGCCTGCAGTGCCGCCCCTCCCCCACCCGCCTTGGAGCCGGGAGAGGCGCCGGGCCCGGGGGTCAGTCCACGTCTGAAGGTTGTGGGGCTGGGCTGGGAACCTTGGGCCTCAGGGCTGAGATTGGACCTGGGCAAGAAATCGCTGCCTCCGTGTTCATGCGACGTCTGTGGAAGTGACCGTGACAGGTGCTTCGCGGGCGCTGGGAGTGCTCGGGAATTCTTCAGGCAGTTCGTAGGCGAGGGCGGACCTAGGCGGGCGAGCACGCGAATGTGGGATGTGTTCTTCAGCGGGCGAACAAGGGACTGTACGGTGTGTTCTTAGCTGGCTAACAAACGAATGTGGGATGCGCTCTTAGCGGGAGAACAAATGAATATAGGATATATTCTTCGATGGTCAGTACTTTGAGGGGGTTGTTCCATTACACGGAGTGACTGGAGATCTCTGTGAAGAGGTGACGTTTGAGCAGAGACCTCAGTGGAGTGAGGGAGTAAAGGTACTTGGCCCAGGGAGCTGTTCAGGGGCAGGAACTTCCTGGCTTGTTAGATCAACCAGGGAGGCCAGTAGGATTTGAGCAAAGGGGAGGATGGGGTGGACGGTGGGGCAAGATATGCTTGGGTGATTGTAAGTCATCCCTGGGTGAATTGCCAGGGCTGCCTGGATTTGCCTTGGCAGTGACCCATTGAGGCTTCTCAGCCAGGACTGGTAGACCAGGCCTCCCCCTTTGGTAGGGGTATTACAGGCCTGAGCATGTGCAGTTGGGTAACCTGCATTCTACCTGGAATGTTCGGTACTGTGAATGGAACCTGAGCCTCTTGGGCTCCTCTGAAGACTGCTTTATTTTGGCCTAGGCAAGAAGGCAGGACTGATCCTCCCCACTGTGGCTTCCAGGTCAGGAGCTTGCTAAGAACCTCAGTTTTTCTAGCGACCACCCCCTGGCCCAGTGGTTCTCAACCTGGAGCAATTCTGTTCCCCAGGAGTCATTTGGCAATGTCTGGAGACATTTTTTGGTTGTATCTGGGAGCAGAGGTCAGGTATGGTGTTAGCATACCTACAATGCACGGAACAGCCCCCACCACAAAGAATTATCTGGGGCTGAACATCAGTAGCTTCAAGTTGGGCAGCTCTGCCTGAGCCTTTCTGTAGCTTTCCTCATTCAGGAGGAAAGTCAGTAAAGTTGTTGATGACATCTCTGGAACCGAGATGTAGTTCTCTTCACCAAGTCTTACCAAGACCTGGAAGACAGTTCTATCATTTTTAGGGGCAGGACTGCTGAAAAAACCAGAAGGTGGATGGCTGGGTGCTGTGAGGTAGCTTAATAATGGAGCGAAGAGAAATCAGTAAAGATGATAGAATTATGCTCAACACTCAATTTCTGGAAGGCTTATTTCGTAATTTAGTGTACTCAGTAGAAAATTTCTTCACAGGTGGGCCGGCCCGGTGGCGCACTGGATGGTGCGCCGCTTGGGAAGCGTCTCTGCCTGAGCCTTTCTGTAGCTTTCCTCATTCAGGAGGAAAGTCAGTAAAGTTGTTGATGACATCTCTGGAACCGAGATGTAGTTCTCTTCACCAAGTCTTACCAAGACCTGGAAGACAGTTCTATCATTTTTAGGGGCAGGACTGCTGAAAAAAGCAGAAGGTGGATGGCTGGGTGCTGTGAGGTAGCTTAATAATGGAGCATTTTTAAAGTCTAGGAAACTGAATTAAAGTCACAAACAGCCAAGGCTGAATTTTATCTCGATCTCGTAGGCTGCAATTCTGGATATGGGTGAGCACTGAAGTAGCCAATAATAAAGAAAAAATTAAGTATTAACCTTATCTTGATAAACTGAAAACCACAGTAGCTTAATGATGTGAGTCTTCCCAGTTTAGGAAGCAGTCCACAAAAGTCAAAGACATTTTAAGTCGACTATTTAATTTCAGATAACTGTTTACTTTAAGGATAAGTCTTAGAGGCCTTAAAGCAAATGTTAGCACTATTGTTAAACATAAAAGGTGATTGAAGGGCTGGCCAGTTAGCTCAGTTGGTTAAAGTGTGGTGTTTATAACATAAGGTCCAGGGTTTGATCCCTGTTACTGGCCAGCTGACCCAAAAAAAAAAAAAAAAGTGATTGAAATAGTACATCTTTTGGGTTTTTTTTTTTGGTTGTTGGCTGGAAGGGAATCCAAACCTTTGACCTTGATGTCACAACACCATGCTCTAATCAACTGAGCTAACTGGCCCGCCCCTCCTCCAGTCTTTGAACCCAGTTACTTATTTATACTTGGGAAACGAAGCTCCATCTCCAGCACCGAAGGGGAAGATGGGAGCAATGAAAAAATCTAGAATTAGGCCTTCAAACAAAGGTCTGAAATGCTACCAGTATTTTTCTAAACACATTTGTTATCTCACACAGTTTCTTTGTGTTAGGAATGGGCAAGTAGTTTAGCTGGATGGTTCTGGCTTGGGATATCTCATGAGGTTACATTTAGGATGTCTGTCTGCACTGTAGTCATCTGAAGGCTTGACTGGGGCTGGAGGCCATATCTCCAAGATGACTTAAACTCCCATGGCTGGCAGATTGATGCTGGCTGTTGGTTCTTTGCCATGTGGATCTTTCCCGAGGGCTGCTGGAGGGTCTTGACCACATGGTGGCTGGTTTCCCCTAAACTAAATGACCCAAGAAAGAGCAAGGTAGAAGTCTCAGAAGTCACACTCAGTCATTTACGCAAATCTTGTTGGTTACACTGGCTACCTCTATTAGTTTGGGTGGGGACTATGTAATGTCAAGAGGCAAGAATCATTGGAGGACATCTTGGAAGATGGTTGTTGCCCTACTCTTGGCTCAGATAGTAGAGATTGGAGGCACCCTAAACTAATTCCAGTTGTCTCCTCATTACTGTCACTCTGTCGTTCCTTCAAAGAATACTCTTAAAAAAGACAAAACTGAGAACCTTCTGTATTTTTGAGGAAAAGAAGATGACAGAGAGATTGGCTAAGAGGGAGGGGTTATGCTGCCCAATTAGAAATCCACAGTCTGACCCTTAGCTTTATAGGGTCAGTTAGAGCTTATTTAAATTTTTCACCCAGAACTAATCAGGCTGGTAAATCAAACCAGGAAGAGAACACTTTATGAACCAGATAAGAATATATTCTTAATAGCCATAATCGGCTAAAGAAGGGCCTGCTCTGGAAAGAGTATTGTGGAACAGAAAGTTAATGTGAGGAGAACAGAGTTAGAGCAGCAGTTGCCATTGAGCTCTGAAGGTTTGATGGATTGGTGGGTTGTCTTTCCTTTTTCCCAGGGAAGAACCAGGACCCCTCTTCCCTGAATTGACATAGATCTTTTGCTCTGCACCTTGCTTACTCATTCCTGTATGTATTCCTGTCAGGGTGTGGTAGGTGTCCATTTGCAGTTGCAGTACCTACAAACCATATCATCTAACGTCTGGGGCTGTGTTGCTGGCGGTCCTATTGCTGAACAAACAGGTTTCGAGAAGCTAGTTGAGCAAACGAGAAAGCAAGGGTTGGGTACTTTTTACATTATGAGGCTTTCCCATGGGTGATCTCTTCCAAAGAGTGCTTTTGGTGTTTCTTGTAGACAGTTATTAAATCATCAGTGCTTAGAATTTAGGCATCTCAGGAAGGCCTCAGATCTCTGGAAAGAATCCATTCGAATGCACCAGCTTTAATTAGGGAAGATAGAAAAGTTGCTTCTGTCTACTTTTTTCTCCTTCCCCAGACCCCAGTTCCCCCTTCTGGGAAGTAAAAATGAAGTTGGGTCCACAGCTTCTTATTTGGAACCCTTGAAGGTGGATGTGTTTTGGAATTCATTCCACAACACCCCCACTGGGGTTTGGGATGGTACCTTATAATTAAACGCATTAATTCTGTACCAAGTGGGATTAAAGAAGGATGATAAATGTCCTCACAGATCAGTTTGGCCCCAAAGTGAGTTTTGGCAACACATTTGCAGGGAACACTTGTCTTTCCAACCTTTTTGGACCTGTGGGAATTTCAGGGTAAGGGATCTTACCCTGTCCCCCCTATTGGCTATGGTGAGGGTGAAATGAGATCATGCAGATAAAGCTTTTAGCACCCTGTAGGGGAATCACTTGTTCAGTGTTGGCTGCTGCTGTTGTCATCTTTGTTGCTAGTAGAGAGCCTGTCAACAAATATGAGAATGCCTACCCAGAGAGAAGGCACTCAGATGTGTATGTTTTTGTTGTAAATAAGCTATTGGAGGTGCTGGCTTTAATTTTCAGGTCATGAGTTGGCTCCGGTGGGAACAGGCAAATACTGCCTCTCCTGGTATCTCTCACAATTTCAGTGCTAAGAGTAAATCATTAAAAAATATATATTTTAAAATGTAGTTTCAAAGCAAGTGTCAGGATTAATTATAGTCTATTACAACCAGCCTTTAAGACCAGTGGCTTTTCAGGCCGGCCCGGTGGCGCACTGGAGAGTGCGCCGCTTGGGAGCGCGGCGGCGCTCCCGCCGAGGGTTTGGATCCCATGTGGAGACCGGCTCCCGCTCACTGGCTGAGCGCAGTGCGGGCGCAACACCGAGGGTTGCGATCCCGTTGCCGGTCCCCGGTACGGGCGCGACACCGAGGGTTGCGATTCCGTTACCAGTCAGTAAAAAAGACAAAAAAGGGAAAAAAAAAAAAAGACCAGTGGCTTTTCATAGAGGTTGAATAGAAGTTGAAGTTTTCCTTACGTGATACTAACTCATTTTAAGGTGTGTGTGTATGTGTGTATATACACGCGTATGGAAATAAGTATATATATATATGGATATATATAATAATACTTATTATTTGCACACAAACATGCCAACCCCAAAGAATTACATTTAAGTAATTGTAGGGGCTGGCTGGTGGTCTCAGTTGGTTAGAGTGCAGCCTTGTGACACCAAGGTCAAGGGTTGGGATCCCCATACTGGCCAGCCACCCCCCCCCCCCCCAAAAAAAAAAGGTAGTAATTGTTTCTTTTCCTTTTTTTTTTTTGTCTTTTTTTTTTTCGTGACCGGCAACGGATCGCAACCCGCAACGGATCGCAACCCTCAGTGTCGCACCCATACCGGACTGGGACCGGCAACGGGATCGCAACCCTTGGTGTTGCGCCCGCACCTCGCTCAGCCAGTGAGCGGCCGGTCTGTATGTGGGATCCGAACCCTCGGCGGGAGCGCTGCCGTGCTCCCAAGTGGCGCACTGTAGCAGTGCGCCACCAGGCCAGCCCAAAAAAGTAGTAATTGTAATACACACTTTTTTTTTTTTTTTAATGGAAAAACTAAAATATAAAGCAATTTCTCTTTCAGACTTGGGGCAGGGAGAGGGGGATATTAGTTACTTTAACATCGTTTAAGAACTAGCCCCCATCCTTGTTTGAATTGGAAATGGCTCACCTTTCAGTGATTTGATATAATTATTTTCCTCATTACTGAATGATCATTTGGGTACTCTTTTATCAAAATGGGTTACTGGCCTAAATGTTTAAAATTTTTTATCCCGTCTTTCTGGCTTAGCAAGTTAGACATAGCCTGCCTTTCCACTGGTTAATAAGTTCAGGAGGTCTAATTAAAATGTGGAATCCAGAGGTTTTGGTGGCTTTCCACTGAAGGAGTGCCTGACATCCAATCTATACTGAAGGGCAGTCTTAGGTCATTTTCCTGTGGTTTGTCAGGGGAAATTAACCACACTGTGCTTATGTTTAGGCTTTGTCCAGGGATCTGAAACCACTCTGCAGTCGACGTACTCAGACACCAGTGCTCAGCCCACCTGTGATTATGGTAAGTATGGGCCATTGGTGGGAACAAGAGTGTTCTGCCTTCTCCTTTTGGCATAGCAGTCCCGAGTCTTCTTAGTTGTCTTTGGCTTTTTTTTTTTTCTAAAAAGATGACCGGTAAGGGGATCTTAACCCTTGACTTGGTTTTGTCAGCACCACGCTCACCCAGTGAGCAAACCGGCCATCCCTATATGGGATCCGAACCCATGGCCTTGGTGTTATCAGCACCGCACTCTACCGAGTGAGCCACGGGCCGGCCCCGTCTTTGGCTTTGCTGTCACCCTGTCTTGCTTTTCTGAACCCAAACTTGTATAAAATGGTTTGATGGGCCATTTATTTATTTATTTATTATTTTTTAAAGATGACCGGTAAGGGGATCTTAACCCTTGACCTGGTGTTGTCAGCACCATGCTCACCCAGTGAGCGAACCGGCCATCCCTATGCGGGATCCGAACCTGTGGCGTTGGTGTTATCAGCACCACACTCTCCCGAGTGAGCCACAGGCCGGCCCAGAAACAGCTAGTGCTTCCCTTTGGGGCAATTATGGGTAAGATGTCCATGTAACTGAACAAACTAGGCTGTAAGTGTTTGGTTTCTTTGACTGTTTACATTTTATAGAAGTAGTTGTGGTCTTTTACAAAAGGTTTGGCTTCAGAAAAGCCCCTTGAAGGCCTGAGAAGGAGAGTGGCCAAAGTCCAAAAGATTAGTCCAGGAAAAACTAAGCTATTAACTTAGCCCCAAGGCGTAGTGCATGTGCCCACTGTGGAAGAGAGGTTGAGTGTGTGAATCTAGCAAGCTTTTACAGATGTGGTCATGCCACCTCAAGCCAGTGGGCTCCACACACATAAGGTTGAGTGAAAATCTCTGATTAATTTCTCAAGTGTGTACAGACACACTTATAATTCAGAAGTAGCCACCCAACAGGATTCACAGATACTGTTTGTTGGAGTGCCGGGGCAGCCCAGAACTGCTGATAAAGCTAGTGCGTGACCTAGGGGTGTCTGTTGAGAAGGAGCCTTCTTTGGAATTGATAAGGATGTCTTGGTTACTGAGAAGGGTAATTTGTTTTACTACCAAGGTCTGGGGAAAGACAGCCAACTCAGCTGACATGCTCTCAGGAGTCAGTGAGTGAATGGACTGAAGTAAGCTCCCCAAGTGTTAGCAGCTAGTCCTAGGGGAAGAGGGAGACTTACAAATGTTTTGAAATTGGGCAAGGAGGTATCAGGTAGTTCATAAATGAGGATAAACTTAGTTTGCATAGCTTCCCTATCCTGCTGTCCCTGACTCCCCCTTTTAATCAAATGTAGACCCAAATTGCACATCTTTTTGAGTTCTTTTTTCCCTGGTTTACATATTTTGGGTGCAAGCCTTTTATCAGATGTGCCACATGCAAATACTTTCCCCCAGACATGGCTTGTCTGTTTCTTCTCTTGTCAGTGTCTTTTGAAGAACACAAGTTCTTAATATATGAATTCCAAGTTACCAATTTTTTCTCTAACGGATCACAGTTTTGGTGGTATATCTAAGAAATCTATGCCTAATTCAAGAGATTTTCTTCTAAGTTTTTTTTTTCCCTAGTGCTCCTTAGCCTTGGATAAATTTTCCTTAAGGTATTTTAATTTTAGGTTTTACATTTAGTCTGTGATCCATTTTGATTGAGTTAATGTTTCTACAAAGGGTACTACAGTATAGGTCAAGGTTCTTCTTGATTTTGGCATATAGATAGACAATTGTTCTAGCACCATTTGTTGAAAAGACTATCATTTCTCTATTGAATTGCCTTTATTGAAAATCAATTGACCAAATATTGTGGTTCTCTTTCTGGACTTAAATTCTGTTCAATTGATTTATATATCTAAACTTTCTCCAGTACCACCCTGTCTTAATTACTGGATAGTGGGTCTTGAAATCCGTTAATGTGAGTCCTTCAGGTTTGTTCTTTTTTTCCAAAACTGCCTTAGATATTCTAGTTCCTTCGCTTTTGCTTATAAATTTTAGAATCAGTTTATCAATTTTAATAAAAATTCCTGCTAAGATTTTGAGTGAGATAGCCTTGAATCTGTAGATTATATTGATCTATATAGATTAGTTCGGGAGGTTTGACATCTTAATGTCACTCCATTTATTTGGGTCTTTGATTTCTTTTATTAGTATTTTGTGGTTTTCAACACACAGGTCCTACAAATATTTTGTTAGATTTCACCTATGTATTTCATGTTTTTAGTGCTATGGTAAATGGTACTTTTAAAAATTTCAGTTTCCACAGTACCAACCTGGATATAGCCAAAATTAGTGTTTTTTTCTATAATGTATAGAAAACATTAGTATTCAGGGCTTTTGGCTTCAATCACTATCCTTCCTCCTTAGCATAGCCCCAACTCTGTAAAAATAGTCTGTTTGGATTTTTCATTTAATCTACAATTTATCTTATTTTATTTTTTTTTAAGGTGACTGGTAAGGGGATCTTAACCCTTGACTTGATGTTGTCAGCACCATGCTCTCCCAAGTGAGCTAACCGGCCATCCCTATATAGGGATCCGAACCCGTGGCCTTGGTGTTATCAGCACCACACTCTCCCAAGTGAGCCACGGGCTGGCCCTTTAATCTATAAATTAATAAAATGATTCTTAAATTAAAAAAAATAAGTTTTTAAACATTTCAGCTTACATTTCAGCTTCCAATTGTTAATTGCTGATATGTAGAAATTTGACTAATATTTGATTTGTGTATTAACCTTGTAATATTTGAAATTTGATTTCTGTATTGACCTTGTAATAAACCTTGCTGAAGCTCACTTGTTCTAGTAGTTCTTTTGTAGATTTGAGATTTTCTTATGTATTGTAATAAACCTTGCTGAAGCTCACTTATTCTAGTAGTTCTTTTGTAGATTTGAGATTTTCTTATGTAGACGATTGCGAGAAAATAGGGGTGGTTTTATTTTTCCTTCTTGCTTAAATTGCAAGAACAGTATAATGACATTTAAACAGCATTTTGAAAAACAGCCAAGATATTACCATTTTAATATTTAATCTTTGTCAGCTTACCTATTTTATGTAGTTGAATAATTTATAGGTAAATAGAATTGTGTGTCCTGCTTTGTTTCACGTATGTTAGAAGCATTTCCTTCTGCTACATAAGGCTTAATTCTTGCCTACAGTAATCTGATTAACTATTACCTTAAAGTTGAACATATAAATCAGTTTTTATTTTTGCTCTATAAGTATTGCTTACTGTGACCATCTCCTTTCTTTTTTTTTTCTTTCCTCAAGAAACTGCACTTAAAATTCCATTTGTCAACCATGTTCTCATCGCCTCTGGGAATGGAATTGAGTTGAGGTGTTCTTTTGGAAGAGGCAGGTCTTGCAGTCCCCAAAGTCACAGGCTTCCTCCCCTCCTAAAGGGACCAGCTGGGGAATCCATCAGGGAGTCTGGCTTGCTCCAGGCATAGCAAGTAGCAGATAGTGAGTGCTTGCTGGGAGGGACTCCTGACAGCTTATGGGAGCCCCATCATAGGAGGCCACCTTCCTGTCCTTGAAATGTAAAGTCATGTTTGCAGAGTTGGTGCCCACTCCTACTTCCTTTCCTGTGCTTCCTCATTCAATTCTGGCAGATCCTCAGCAGCTGAAATCCGGGGTGGACCATATTGTAGGCCCACAAGCAGAGCCCTGATGGGTCTGCCTTTGCCTCCTAGTCCTGTCTCCTTTTGAATAGCCAGTGTCCACTGTCTGTGGTGCAAACAGCCATTTGGCCAGGCTCTTATTAGCTGCTGGGGCTCACTGTGTGCTAGCCTATGTGGCTCTGCCAGCCTCTCTTGCCTGTCAGAGCTGCTCCTTCGCCACTCTTTCCTTACGTGGTCTCCAGCTCCTGGCTGTCTGTGCTGCTCTCTGGTTATTAGTACCTCCTTTAACAACAAGCAGTATTCTGGGCATGAACAGTGCCAAGGACTGCTAGTCTCTGCTCGGAGATGATACTTGTAGCATAAAAAGATGGATGAGAAGCCTCGGTTTTGGTTTCCCAGCCTAGAGGATTTTTTTTTTTTGTCCTTTTTGAGACCAGCTGCACCGCGCTCAGCCAGTGAGCGCTGTGAGCACACCGGTCGTCCCCATACAGGATCCGAACCCGCGGTGGGAGCGCTGCTGCGCTCCCAGCGCCGCACTCTCCCGAGTGCGCCACAGGCTCGGCCCCAGCCTAGAGGATTTTTGTTTTGTGAGCTGTCTCATGCCCATGGTCTGTTAAATGTAGTGGTCATCTAAAGTTCCTCCACTGATTTCTGACACATTCCCATTCTGTTTGTGCACTGGGTTGTGGAACGAACCAATGTTCTCCCTAGTTTGTATTTTCTTGCTCTCCTGTGGTCTGGATTCTGCCATTCATCACACTGCCATCTCACTGAACTTTGGTCCCTTTGGTCCTGGGATGAGCATGTCCTGTCTGACTGCAGGGCAGAGGTGACATCAAATAGGAGGCTACCGTGGGGTCTCACTAGAGACATTGGTAAAGTGGCCGGCTGATCTCGTGTACTCCTCTGTGGGGGAACTGTGTCTGGCTGACTCAGAGTTTCCATGTGGCTTCACACTTTGTCAGTTCTCAGTGGTTTTATGTTCCTGAAGGAATGAATTTTCATCATGCATTGTGTGCAAATCCAGAGCATATTTAGTTTATTATCCAGATTGTTCTCTCAACAGCTTTTCTCACACTAGGGCTTGCTTCTTGTCCTTCCCTTGCTGATGTGTTCCAGCATAGCACACTCACACAGTTCAAGGGCTTGCTGGCCCTTGCTGTTAAGGCTGACATTTGGGGGACGGGGTGGTTGGTTTCCCTGCTCCAGATGGCTTAGTTGAATGGTTTGGGTGACTTGATTTCAGAATGGATAAGGACTCTGTGCCAGGCTTTTTGTACAACACAGGGTCTATATGAGGGGTTATAATCTGATAAATGCTTGGCGAGGTCCAGGGAGATCTTTTTTTTTTTTATTTTTATTTTTTGGCAGCTGGCTGGTATGGGGATCCAAATCCTTTACCTTGGTATTATAACACACTGTGGTCTAACCAACTAAGCTAACCAGCCAGCCCCTATCTTTTAATTCTAGCTCTTTAAGGGAGAAGTGTAGGAGCCAGATTTGTTAGTTGAGAGTGTTGGGAATAGGAAGCTCCTTAAAGAGCCTCAGAAGGCCAGACACCCGGGCAGCAAAGTGGCCCAAGTCATTTGCATAGTGCTTTCATGCTTGATTCTTCTCAATTAGGGGAGGTTCAGTGTGCTGTAACTAGTCAGGTACTGGGAATAATTGTCTTCACTTGTGCCTGAAGTAAACTCTTGTTGTATTGCAAGCAACTGTAGATGTAATTGCCCTTTTACTTCTCATAGGATATGGAACTTGGAACTCTGGGACAAACAGAGGCAAGTATCATTCCCATGATTGCTCTCCTCTGCCTTAGGACTGAACCACTTATGTGTCTCTGCCACTGCCCAGCTTGGCCAAGATGGGGGAGTGGGGCAGGTATACTTTGGGTGTCCCTGGGGCTGAGTACTCCTTCACAGGAAGTCCCCATCAGAATGGCTAGGCCCACCCAGCTTCGGGCGCTGGGGTCCCAAGCTTGTCTCTGCATTGGTCTCTGTGTCTGCTTCTTCTCTCCCTGCCCTGCCATCTCTGTCTTTCTGTCTTCCTTACTGCAGGCTATGAGAATTATGGCTATGGCTATGGCTATGGTCAGGAGAACACCACCAACTATGGGTATGGTATGGCCACTTCAAACTCTTGGGAAATGCCTACCTCTGACACAAGTGCGAACCCTAGTGCCTCGGGTAGCGCCAGTGCCGATTCCGTTTTATCCAGAATTAACCAGCGCTTAGATATGGTGCCTCACATGGAGACAGACATGATACAAGGAGGCGTGTACAGCTCAGGTGCAGAAAGGTGAGTGGGCTCCCACCTAGGGGCTAAGGCTTTGCAGGGGTGGCTCCTGCCTGCTACCTGCTGTCTTCTTCCTCTCTGAATGCACCTCCGTGTCTGTTTCCTCCCACCTTGTGTGGTCTTGCTAGGGCTCCCAGAGAGTACTCCCAATGGAGTCTGTTGCACCTCCCTTCTCTGACCTGTGTCTCTTCTCCCCCTGACCCCCATTGCCTGGTGGCCAGCCTCTCCCCAGCTAGCAGGGAAAGAAGCAAACCCAGATTGGGCTGACTTCACTGTTGCCTCTAAATAACTCCTCAGGAGCAGAGTGTTCAGTGGCCCCTCCCTCTGAGGACAGTCATTTGGAGTTCTCTCGAGACTTTCCATCTTGTGTAGTATCAGGGCAGGACAGATTGGGTTTGGTGTGAAGGGACAAGTCTTTGTGGCTGAGCACTGCACACTGGGCCACCTCCCATGTAAGGAACAAGGCAGAAGTGGACACTTGCTGGCCACTCTCCTGTGCCTTACAAACATGTGCCTGTGGGAAGCACCCCTGTGAGGGACTGATGTCTTCCTCATTCACAGATGGGGAAACTGAAATGTAGGGAGGTCACACCCCTTGCCCAAAGGCACCGCGAGTAAGTGGTAGGGCTGGCCATCACACCCAGATCTGCCCTACTTTAAAGAATACATTGTTGGCATGTGTCATTAACTGAACTGGTCTTGGCCTTGGAGTGCTTGTGCCCAAGGGAGAGGCCTTGGTGAGGAGGACACACATACCTCGAGCACAGGACAGGGTGGAGTGCCAGCTAACAGATGAGGGAGAGCATAGAGTAAAGGGGCCTGGCCAGGCACTGGTGAGGCCAAGTGAGGCCAGGGCTGCAGGAGGACACAAGAGGACTTGCTGGCATGGACTCTAGAGCCCCCAGCACAACAGCTATTGCATTTGGAGCTGAGGGCTTGTTGTATGTGTCTCATGCTTATGTCTGTGCTCCGCACCTTCTTGCCACAGCCTAGAGCCAGGGAGCAAGGACTGGGGGAGGAGTGGTAGTGCTATTGGCTTTTGTCACAGGTACTGGTACCTCCTGGTGGCTTGGGTTTGAGGAGGAGGTGCAAGAAGGGGCCCTTCTGTCTGTGAGGCTTGTGGGGTCTGGGCTGCAGCCATGGTTAAATTGGCTCTCTGTGGTGCCCTTCCTCTCTGGGACAGGAGGGCTCGCCTGCTTTCCCACTTGCTGTATAGGATTTGGTGTCCCAGCCTGGGTTCCAGGGTTGATGTCATAGAGCTTTTTTTCTAGTCCCTGTGCAAGCCCATAATGTCTTTCCTGGGAAACACTCCCCATTGTGTCTCACTTCTTTTGGCTGGTGACAGGCTTTGAAGGGTTTGATGGTTCCCCCAGCCGTGAGGCACAAGACCAACACAGTGTTTCTCATGGGCATTATAAACCTCGTTGGCCATGTATTCATTGTGCTGGACTGCCTGGGTGCTCCACTCTGCCCCCTGAGGAGCAGTCTTGGGCATATGGCTACCATAGACAGTGCACATGTTTCCAAAGGGCTGTGGGAGTGGTTCTGCCCCTTGTTGAGACTCAGTGGACTAGAGCCTCCCCTCCAGTGGTCGGTTCTTCTTAGGGTCCCCGAGCTAGTACATGACTACATGCAAGCTTGGGACAGTGGAGCCCCTAACAAGAACATCAGCTAAGGCCCCTTTCTGCTTTCTAGAGTTCTGTTCCTATGGGGCCAGAACCTCTTACCTGGCTTGTCTGAACATTGAGCCTTCCCAACAGAGTGGGGGTGGGTGCTGGAGCTGGTCTTTCTGTCTCAGGACTGGGAGGTTTTGGGGAGGGCAGGAGCAGTTGGCCCAGCAAGGGCTGGCTGTTGGTGATGACCCTGAGGGGGCTCTACCTGAACTTGCCACATGCCTCTGCAGGTATGACTCCTATGAGGCCTGTGACTCGAGGGCCGTCCTGAGCGAGCGTGACCTCTACCGGTCAGGCTATGACTACGCCGAGCTTGACCCCGAGATGGAAATGGCCTATGAAGGCCAATATGATGCCTACCGTGACCAGTTCCGCATGCGTGGCAGCGACACCTTTGGTCCCAGGGCTCAGGGCTGGGCCCGGGATGCCCGGAGCAGCCGGCCGATGGCCTCCGGCTATGGGCGCATGTGGGAAGACCCCATGGGGGTCCGGGGCCAGTGCATGCCTGGTGCCTCCCGGCTGCCCTCCCTCTTCTCCCAGAACATCATCCCAGAGTACGGCATGTTCCAGGGCATGCGTGGTGGGAGTGCCTTCCCAGGCAGCTCCCGCTTTGGCTTTGGGTTTGGCAATGGCATGAAGCAGATGAGGCGGACCTGGAAGACCTGGACCACGGCCGACTTCCGAGTGAGTGGCAGTGGCCTTCCCCTACTAACCTCTGGCTGGTGTGGAGCAAAGTGCCAGGAGCCACACCCCCTGACCCGGCTCCCCCTTTCTGACCCAGACCAAGAAGAAGAAGAGAAAGCTGGGTGGCAGTCCTGATGAGCCTGACAGCAAAGCCAGCCGGACAGACTGCTCAGACAATAGCGATTCAGACAACGGTGAGCTGGGGTGGCAGTGGGCCACAGGCCACTGCCCTCGTGGGGCTCCTGGCTTGAGTTCCCTCCTCTCCCTTTTCAGATGAGGGCACTGAGGGAGAAGCCGCAGAGGGCACTGAAGGCTCTGAGGCTGTGGAGAAAGGCTCCCGAGCAGTAAGTGGCCCCTGGCCTGGGCTCCTTCCGTGTGCAGGTGGGGCCTGTGAAGACCAGGCTGTGCCGAAGAGCAGGGCTCTCCACAGGGCCATGGGCAGTGCGTGGTCAGCTCTGCGTGCATGGATGACCAGCACCAGGGGCAGTGTGGTCTAGGAGAAAGCACAGGCCACTTAACCAGAGGCATGGTTTCCTTGTCAGAAAATGGAATGAACCTCTGTGCAGGGTGGTGGGAGGACGTGAGGTCTTTGCCCAGTATCTGGCACATAGCTGGGCCTTGTCACTTCGAGCCATTATAAATCAATCACTGCACATATCTTAAAGTTGGATTTTAAATTGTGTTAGGAAGGAGAGGACGAGGAGGGAAAAGAGGATGGGAGAGAAGAAGGCAGAGAGGATTCGGAGAAGGGTGAGTTTTCTGGGGACCTGGGTGCTGGGGTGGCTCTTCCAGGTGCTCACAGCGGGAGGGATCCAGCTGAGGGTAGGGTTGTAGCAGAGTGGCCAGCTTGGGATGTCCCTTGTGGGGCTGGGTATGTGCTGGCAGGGGGCTCTTCTTCCTCCTTCTCCCTGTCCCCACTCTGTCACAGAGGAAGAACAGCCTCTGTTCTTCTCAGGCAGAGGCTGTGGATGGTGATGGTCCCTGCCTAGCACGCTGGTTTTACCTTGAGGTGGGGGCAGCAAGCCAAAGTGTGTGGCACCCCAGGCATACACCCTGCCCTCAGTCCCTCGGAAATGCACAGTTCCGAGTCCTCAATGGCTGGTGTCCAAGCTGGGACCCATGGTGCAGTTTTTACGGCTCTGGTTTGCGTGTCCTCTCCCTTAGCGCCTCTCCAGCCCCTGTTGGGAGTCCGTGTCCCCCCACCTGAGTGATGAGCGTCAGCAGGTACCTAACAGTAAATCCAGCCTCAGCCCACTGTTGCCGCGGTGCCCCATGGGGGGTGGGCAGGGCCATGTGAACGGCCTCCCTGCATCCCACCACCTGACCCTTCTGAATGTGTGCCAGTGTCCCTGCCGAGACAGCCTCACTTTGCCTTCCAGCCTCCTCGTGGGTCACTCTGCAGAGAGAGTGGGTGTCCTGGAGAGCGGAGGGGTCGGTGTGTGTCCCCGCCTCCTTGGGGGCTAGGCCTAACCCACTCCCTGCCCAGCCCAGCCCAGGGTACCCAGCCCTGCTCGTGGCCAGAGGCCTTGCTTGGACAGCTGCTCTCAGATGGACCCTCTGGAGTGGACAGCGGGTGACTCACTCAGAGGCCACTGGGCCTGCCCTATCCTGGCAGACTCAAGTTGGTGACTCTGCTCTTCTGTTCCCACAGGGGCCCAAGATGAGAATGGCCAGACCAAGCGCAAGTTGCAGGCAAGCAAGAAGAGCCAGGACAAACAGAAAAAGCGGCAGCGAGACCGCATGGTGGAAAGGTAACCAGCTTCCCTCCACCCCTTTGCCTCTGCCTCACTGTGGGGCTGCCGCCTGGAGAGCAGGGCCATAACTCTGCCATCTCGCCGCCCTCTGGTCTCCCTCGGGAGCCACCACCTGCTCGGCCGTGCATGGACCCTGCTTCCCGCCAGGCCCCGCTCCCAAGGCCTGACTCGTCCCCTGCCCCCCTGTGGCCACCTGGCGACCACTGGCGTCTGTGGCCTGAGACCTGACACTGCTCAGCACCGTGGCTCAGAAGCTCCGGCGCTAGGTCACTCGGCGCACAAGCCCTGAGGTGCACTGGGGGCCCGATGCCCCTGAGGGAGGGGGCCGGCTCATCAGAGACTTGAGGTCCACGGCGCCCGTGCCACCACCCCAGCTAGCTGCCAAGAGGCCTCCGCCGTGCCCAGGAGAGATGGCAGCATCTGTGGGCTGTGGCAGCCTTGGGCCTGCCATCTGCCTTGCCCGCCGGCCCTGTTAGGCCGGGCCTGTCTGTGGCTGAGCCCTTCACGCCCCTTGGTCGGGTCTGTCTGCCCTCAGGGCTCCCGCACTGGCGCTTGCCTCCTCCTCCTCCGCCTCAGACTCTTGCTCTTGCTGGACCTTCCTCAGCCTCGCCGGCGCCCGGCCCCTGGGCTCTCCAGACAAAGCTGACCCCGTGGCCCAGATAAGGACGTCCGGCAGAGGTAGGGACCTGCCCCAAGGCCTCGGTGGCAGCTGGCCTCCTCCGCCCCTTGCCACGGCGGCCTGCTCCAGCCCAGGCCCCAGACCCCAGGCTTCTGCTGTGGACACCAGGCCCAGACAGAGCACCTCGCTCAGGTGACTCCAGGCTGCCCTCTGGCAGGCCGGGCCGGCGCCCTCCTTCCAGCTCAGACTGGTCTCTTCTCGGAAGAGGAAGATGAGGCAGCAGGTGCCCAGGCCTGCTTGCCTCCCATCCCTCCCGACACCACCCCCAAGCATTCTGAGCAGAGGATGGGCTGGGCCTTTGAGTCCCCCAGGCCTCAGAAGGAAGATGCAGCACCTTTTCGGGCCCTGCCTCGGGACTGCGTACTCCACTCTGCACCTCAGGGCCACCTGGCTCACGCCAGGGCATCCTTCCTTCCGGTCCCCAGCTGGGCCAAGTGCACAAGCTCCTGCCCAGCCTTGGTAGAGAGGTCCTCCGGCAACCTTCCAGCGACTCCTTGCCTGTTGCAGCAGCTGCTGCGTCAGGCTTCAGCCTCCTGCCTGTGGGAAGGAAGAGCTCCTCCCCTGCCCCCTACGTTGCAATAACTGCAGCCTGCAGACTTTCAGTCCCCTTCTACTCCTGACCCCACTGACTTCAGAGGTCCGTGAGCAAGGCCTATTTCAGGGCTCGCAGCTGGGTTGGGTGAGGTGGTAGCACTGTTCGCTGGGACCCTCACAGCCTCAGCCCCTTGTTTCCCTCCTGTGGCAGGATCCAATTTGTGTGTTCTCTCTGTAAATACCGGACCTTCTACGAGGATGAGATGGCCAGCCACCTTGACAGCAAGTTCCACAAGGAGCACTTTAAGTATGTAGGCACCAAGCTCCCTAAGCAGACGGCTGACTTTCTGCAGGTGAGCATTTGAGTGGCATAGCTGCTCTTAATTTCTTGGGTCCCTTGGGACATAGGGCAGCCCACACGAACCTTGATATCTCCATCAGGAGTATGTCACCAACAAGACCAAGAAGACAGAGGAGCTCCGAAAAACTGTGGAGGACCTTGATGGTCTGATCCAGCAGATCTACAGAGACCAGGATCTGACCCAAGGTAAGGAGGTTCTATCCCAACTTCCACCAGGCAGGGCCTCAGTCTGTCCTCCTCTGATTCTCAGTGAAGGGTCACGACAACCATCTGCCCCCCCAGTGAGGGTTGGTGAGGACAGCCTCAGGCCCACATGAAAGTGGCAGGGCAAGTTGAGGAGCTGGTCTGTTTTTTTTGCAAACTTAATGGCTTAGGCATCTAGGACCAGTGGCAGCTCCCTCTTCCTCCCTACCACAGAAATTGCCATGGAGCATTTTGTGAAGAAGGTGGAAGCAGCCCACTGTGCAGCCTGTGACCTCTTCATTCCCATGCAGTTTGGGATCATCCAGAAGCATCTCAAGACCATGGATCACAACCGGAACCGCAGGGTGAGTGGCCACAGGTGCCCTTCCTCCATCCTGTGGGTAGACTGAGTGAGGCCTCTGGGGAGATCTTCAGTTATAACTTCTGCCTGCCGTGAGGAACTGCAGGGGAGCGGGGGCAGATAGATATGGACATTTCCAGCCCAGTGCAATCAGCTACAGAGAGAGGGGTGGGGAATGGGGGATTCTGTCTGGGAGCTGGACTTTAAGGAGTAGTACACTTTGGGATATGGGGACCTCCATGTGCAGAGGGCCAATGACCAGGTTAGGTTCAGAAATCAAATGGAGAAGAGTACAGTGCAAGTATTGCTGGAGGAGAAGGTTGAACTTCAGAGGTTTATAGCTGTGATGAGGGAGCTGGGTCTGCTCCTTTAGGAACCAAAGTTTTCAAGTGAGGGACTAACAGGATTAGGGTTGGTGTTGAACTAGAGACTTTTGGCACCTGTTGTGGAGAGGGAGATGGGGGTTAAGGAGGGGCTGCTGTGTTATGAAGATGAGAGAAGTGAGAGTGAGAAGAGCTGTTTAAGGAAGGGCACAGGAGGTCAGCATGTGGGAGTGACCAGGAGCCTGGGAGATGGCTCAGGTTTCTGACTTGGGGAACTGGACAGTGTTGCTGCTAAGATTGTGGTGGGAGGGGTATCTGGTGCAGGGAAAGGAGCACAATTGGCAAGGAAATGAGCAAATTCTGTTTTGCTTTCCAACATATCCCTAGTGCCTAGCACAGAAGCCAGAGTAGGTATCTTTTGGTTGAATGGGTGACATGCTGGGTTGGAGGTGGTTGTTAGAGATTGGGTGGGGGTGGAGTTGGGGGGGCTGTGCAGTGGGGAAAGAGGTGAGAGGCCCAGAACCAGGTCTGGGCTAAATAGAGGCTTAGCTGTCATCATCACCTTGGAGGAGGCCAGCAAGGTTTATGAGCAGGTGATAGCACTCAATGCTATTTTCCACCCAACAACAACAAAATGCTACAGCATTTCTCAACTTTTTCCCATGTCTGCCACAATCCATCTCTGTTCTTTCCCAGCACAGTGATTCTCAATAGTGGGATGGGGTTGGGGATCTGGCTTGGGTGGTCATAGAGATTCAGGATTGGCAGATGCCACTGAGAGGTCTGGAAAGATAAAGTGTTCATTGGCTTTGGCAACACAGAAGCTGTAGGGATCTTGCCAAGAACAGATTCTTGGGTTGGGAACTGATAGCAGTAGGGAGAAAGAAGACTGCAAGATGGAGAGTACATACTAAGACTTCTGGAAAATCTAGGGGAAATGAGTGATAGGTAGCAAAATATAAACTCAAAATTGATTCTAAAAAAAGTAGAAAAAAGAAAAGAAAAAGCATAACAACTAGTAACCATAGAGGGTTGTAGAAGTGTGGTGAAAGATGTAGTACTTAGAAGGTATCCTAAGTAGTTGGTTTATAGAGATGATTTGAATACAGTTTAAATACTATATTCTTTTAAATTCCAGACTGTAGTAATGGATGGAATATGTCTAATTGTTATTTTTGGTAACAGCTTTACAGAGATAAAGTTCATATACCATATAATTTACCCACTTAAAGTGTACAGTACTTCTTAGTATACATAGATTTCTTCAACCATCACCACAATTATAGAGCATTTTCATCACCTCAAAAAGAAACCCATACCTATCCTTCTGCAGCCTTAAGCAACTACTAATCTACTGTCTCTTTATATTTCCTTATTCTGGATATTTCATATAAGCAGCATCATATAATACATGTCTTCTTTGATTGGCTTCTTTCACTGAGCATAATGTTTTCCAGATTCATCCACATTGTAGCATGTATCAGAACTTCATTCCTTTGTATGGCCTAATAATATTCCATTGCATAGATATCCCATGTTTTGTTTATCTGTCCACCTTTTTTGGCTGTTATGAATAACACTCTTAGTAACATCTGTGTACAAGTTTTTGTGTGGACATATGTTTTCATTTCTTGGATATGTACCTAAGAATGAAATGTCTGGATCAAATAGTAACTAACTTCTTGAGGAGCTGCCAGACTTTTCCAAAGTGGCTGCGCCATTTTACATTTCCTTTTTTTTTTTTTTTTTTTTTGTCCTTTTTGAGACTGGCCATACCGCACTCAGCCAGTGAGCGCACCAGCGGCCATCCCTATATAGGATCCGAACCTGCGGCGGGAGCGCTCCTGCGCTCCCAGCGCCGCACTCTCCTGAGTGCGCCACGGGCTCGGCCCCCATTTTACATTTTCACCAGTACATTACTGCATTTATTCTCCAGACCAGGAAGTTACAGGAAGAGACATAGTTTTTAACAAGTTTAACAGTAGAAGCTGGTAATATTCAGTAAAAACAAGTCAGATAACATTCCATTAGACAATTAAATGATCCACTAAGGAAGGCTTGATTTAGCAAACATTTTTTCTCCCTCCAGCAGCTTCCCAGTAACTTTACATATCAACCAGTAACTAGTCTGTCTTTGAGCCAGCAACCTTGCTATGTTACAATTCTTTATCTAACCACAGAGACTAAATAGCCTGGGGAAATTTTCCTGTTTTTTGTAAGGTTAATATTTGAAACTGCAAGGCTTTGGAAAGCCAGGCCCTGTGAAGTACGTTTGTTTTATGAATCCTCTACATTTGTATATCTTTGGGAAAACGTCTACCCAAGATCTTTGCCCATTTTTAAAATGTGTTGTCTTTTTGAGTTGTTAGAGTTCGTTATATATTCTAGATACAAGTACCTTATTTCATATGATTTGAAAATATTTTCTCCCATTCTGTGGGTGGTTTTCTCACCTTATTGATGTGTCCTTTGCAGCACAAAAGTTTACTTTTGATGAAGTCCAGTTTATCTTTTTTTTTTTTTTTAATTTTTATTGCTTGTGCTTTGGGTGTTGTATATAAGAATCCATTGACAAACTCAAGGTCATGAAGATCTATCCCTGTGTTTTCCTCTAAGAGTTTTATGGTTTTAGCTTTTATGGTTAGGTCTTTGGTCCATTTGAGTTCATTTTTTTATATGGTGTGAGGTAAGGGTACAACTTCATTTTTTTGCATGTGGATGTCCAGTTGTCCAAGCACCATTTGAAAGAGAAATGAAAGAGACTATTCTTTCCCCATTGAATGGTCTTGGCACCTTTGTTGAAAGTCATTGCCCATAGCTTCATGGATTTATTTCTGGACTTTTAATTGTATTCTGTTGTTCTATATTAGTGTACTTTAAAAAGTTCATGGAAAGATTCATATTATCTTTAATTCTATTTTTCTGTGAACTTTCAAGTACCCTTGTATCTTTATGCCAGTTGGTATTGTAGCTTTGTAACAAGGTTTGAAACAGGAAGTGTGAGTCCTCCAACTTTGTTGTTCTTTTTCATTTTTTTTTTTTTTTTGTCTTTTTCCGTGTCTGGCAACGGATCGCAACCCTCAGTGTTGCCCCCGTACCGGGCCGGGACCGGCAACGGGATCACAACCCTCGGTGTTGCCCCTGCGCCTCGCTCAGCCAGTGAGCGGGAACCGGTCTGTATGTGGGATCCGAACCCTCAGCGGGAGCGCCGCCGCGCTTCCCAAGCGGCGCACTAGCGCAGTGCGCCACCGGGCCAGCCCCATTTGTTGTTCTTTTTCAAGATGGCTTTGGGTATTCTGTGTTCCTTGAGTGTTCATGAGTTTTAGGCTCAATTTGCCAATTCCTCCAAAGAAGCCAGCTGGTATTCTGATAGGATTGTGTTCAATTTCTAGATCAATTTAGAGAGTATTGCCATCTTTACAATATTAAGTCTTCTAATCCATGAATATGGGATGTCTTCCCATTTATTATTTAATTTCTTTCAGAAGTGTTTTGTAGTTTTTAGAGTATAAGTTTTGTACTTTTTTGTTGTTAAATTTATTCTTAAGTATTTTATTCTTTTTGGTACTATTATAAATGGAATTGTTTTCTTAACATTTTTGGATTGTTCTTTGCGTGTGTATAGAAATAGTATTATTGATATTGTTTGTATCCTACAAGGTTACCGAACCATTAGGGGTTTTTTTGCTTTTCGTTTTGTTTGGTTTTTTTTAAAGATGATCAGTAAGGGGATCTTAACTCTTGACTTGGTGTTGTCAGCACCACTCTCTCCCAAGTGAGCTAACTGGCCATTCCTATATAGGGATCCGAACCCGTGGCTTTGGTGTTATCAGCACCACACTTTCCCAAGTGAGCCATGGGCTGGCCCTGAACCATTAGTTTTTAATAATACTTAAACTGATGTTTAGTAGTTCTGAGAGTTCTTTAGTGGATTTCTTAGGATTTTCTATTTACAAGATCAATCATCTGTAAATAGTTTTACTTCTTCTATTCCAATTTGGATGCCTTTTATTTCTTTTTCTTACCTAATCACCCTGGCTATAACCTCCAGTACAATGTTGAGTAGCAGTGATTAGAGTGGACATCCTTTGTCTTGCTTCTTTCTTAGGAGGAAAGCACCAGTCTTTCACCATTATGTATGATATTAGCTGTTGGTTTTTCATAAGTGCCCTGGGTTGGGTTGAGTAAGTTCTCTTCTATTCCTATTTTGTTGAATGTTTTTATCCCAAAACGTTGTTGGATTTTGTCAAATGCTTTTTATGCATCTATTGAGATGATCATGTGGTTTTGTTTTTTATTCTATTGGTATAGTATATTACACTAATTGATTTTTGGATATTAAATCACCTTTGCATCCTTGGGATATATGACCCTAGTTCATAGTGTACATAACTCTTTTTATATGTTAGATTGGTTTTGCTATTATTTTCTTGAGAGGAATTTTTGCATCTGTATTCACAACAGATAATTGGTCCATAGTTTTTTTGGTGTTTTTTTTTATGGTTTTGGTGTCATGGCCTCATAGAATGAGTTGGGAAGTTTTTCCCCCTCTTCTGGTTTTTTGGAAGAGTTTGTGAAAAACTAATACTAATTCTAGAAGTGCTTGGTAAATTCTGTCTGTGAAGCCACCCAGGCCTTGGCTTTTCTTTGTAAGTAGCTTATTACGAATTCAATATCTACT